GGTGGGTAGCGATGTATTCTTGACCCTGTTCTGCTTGATCATTTGTTAAGTTTCACACTCAATTTAATATTGCTTAATTTTTACTGTTACAGTGTTCTTCAAAATCACTTTCGTACAAAAAATATGTTTACGACTTAAAACCAAAAACAATGTTTTTAATTTTATTTAATTAAAGGCTAGTTTGGCTAAGCCTTGTTTGTCCGATCTGCCAACCCGGAATGCCTAAGTAGGTTAGCGTGCCTTTTGTAGGACAAGCCCCAGTAGCATTTTTTTGTTACATTTCTTCACGGAGGATCCCCCTGGATTCGCCACTAATGTTTGAAATATGCTTTAACATATAGATGATAACTATAATAACAAAAATAATAATAATAGTTATCATTATTATTACTCCTACCACCACCACCCTTATATTATATCATAAATATTACTCTAATTTGATGCCAATATCATTCAGAGGGAACAAAATCATTTCGTTCCCTCAGTCCTCCAAAATAATATTTAATATATGGTACGCCCACAGTGCCTTTGGCGTCGGCTGTTTGACGAATTTATCAGTCGATGGCGACTACAGCATTATATATATATATATATATATATATTATATATATATATATCTGACTGTAGAAATGCGACAGATCGCAAAAATATTAGTAAATGAGTCAAGTGCTATGGCCATTTAGAGCCATTTAAAATTGATATGTTATAGAACTGATTTTTCAAAGATAGAGAAAAGTTGTTTAACAAAAAATTAATGAGACACAGATTTTTTAATATTTAAAAACTGGGGGAAAAGGTGTAATAAAGGTCGCCCCTTTTTCCTTCAGTTTTACAACATATCATTTTTCCCTTCGGAGCCTGACTTTAACTAGCACAGATTTTCTATATAAAAAAAACTAAGCAATATATCTTAGTGTCGCATTATGATTTTATTGAAATTAAAGTAAGCCTAAGTAGTACAACATTATTAACAGGAATAGCCAGTAATACAACAATATGTGCCTTGGGTCGCCAGCCAAAGAATGCGGAGTTAAGTGGGTCGCCGCCACAAAAGGCTTGAAAAGCAGGAGTTTCAGTTAATGTAACACTTCGGGATTTCATGATTTAAATATTAACACAACGTGAAGTTGTAAAAAGTACAAGAAAAAACTCCCAATATAAAAAATTAAAATTTTAGTGTTTTCATGATACAAATCTTCAAATGATGGGGTCGGCGAATGATGTGTCCTATTTGCGCCGAGGGTAAAGCCGCCACCGAAGGAACTGTAGGCGCATCATACGAAATATTATCGAGGTAAGCAAATGATTTCGTTCCCTCGAAATACTATTTCGAGATATTATTTCATGGGAACGAAATATTATTTCGTTCCCTCGAAATAATTTAATATTTTTTCTAACCATGTCCCTTTAGGGGCTCGGTAGTATTTAACATAGCTGTAGCTAGTTTAAACTGTTTTCGAAAACGAAAATTGCGTTAACATAAAGTTTATACCCGTTTAGTAATATTCAATATATGTAGAATGACATAATATTTTAATATGTTTGGACAAACTTTGAAGAAGAGCCAAGCACGGGAAGTGACCAAAGTGCCGGTCAAAAAAAATAGGGATAGAAGAAGAAAATCAGAAGTTAAACGAAAGCTTTTCTTGCTGAGGAAATTAATCAGTTACAGTTCAATAATATTTATTATTTTATTTTATTTTTATTTTCAATCTTTCGACAAAAACAAAAAAGTTGGACAGGGGAGCCGAGGAAAAGCAAAAGTTAGAAAAACTGTCATCAAAAGATGTGCTTAACCGAACCCCTGCCAACAAAACAATACAAAAATTTAAACGTTAAAATGAACGAAAGAAAAAAAAAAGCAAATGAATGAATAAATAAAAATAAATAAAACAACATATTAAAATTTTAGAAACCTACAATAAAAAAATTATTTAAAAAAATATATATAAATGTTTATATACAATTATAACTTCCATAAACAGTATTAAGTCATTTACAGAATTTTAAAATGCAACCGTCATAAGAAATGGATAAAATCAATCAAGTACATTTCGTCAAGCAGAATATAACAAAAATCAGTAAAATGATCCTTTAAACTCCGTTTAAACATGAAAAATGGCTCCTCAATAAGATTATTTCTTATAGTAACATTAAGCTCATAAAATTTTTTCGGAAACCTAACTACCCCACAGTATTTAAAAGCATCAGTACAAGCTTTAGCATGATGGAAGGTATATCTTGATGACTATTATTAACTTCAAATAAATCAACACAACACTCACCCTTGTTGTTTGAAGTCCCAATGAAATCACATGTGGCTCCCTGCGCCACCCGACAGTTTTCTTCCATGTCACATTCCAAAATACAGGTAGCTGGGGAGACAAAACACCAATAATATAATAAAAATAAGTTATTAAAAATGTATATTTTGATATGATGAAATATAAAACTCGAGCAGTCGCTTCATTAAGGAGTACATACCTCCTCTTTGTAAAGCTCGGTTTCCATACAATCGCTACACA